TTTCTTTTATCACTTGGAACAGAGGGTTTTTTACACTAGATAGTCCTATTTGTTTTAGATTACCCATGCTGGAGGGGAGCGGAGGGGGCAGGCGGCGGTGGGAACACAGCGCTTGCGAGGCCAAGGTGGCCTTGATCCACCAAGCACGTGACATTCGGCGTCGCATCGAGGCACTGATGCCCCCTGGACTCAGAGGATCTCCTTCAGTTTGGCGTAGTGGTTAAGAGCAGTGGACTCTAATCTGGGAGGACCGGGTTTGATTCCCCACTCCTCCACTTGCAGCTGCTGGATCACCTTGGGCAAGCCATAGTTCTCTCAGAGCTGTTCTCTCAAGAGCAGTCCTCGAAAGAGCTCTCTCATCCCCACCTACCTCACAGGCAGTGTTCCCTCTAAGCTGAGTTGATGTGAGCTAGCTCACAGTTTTTTAGCCTCCGGCTCACACATTTTTGTCTTAGCTCAGGAAGGATGGCTCCAGAGCAAACTAATTTATCCAGTAGCCAAATCGCTCGCTCACAACTTTAATGCCAGCAGCTCACAAAGTAGAATTTTTGCTCACAAGACTCCACAGCTTAGAGGGAACATTGCTCACAGGGTGTCTGTTGTGGGGAGGGGAAGGGAACGGAGTTTGTAAGCTGCTCTGAGACTCCGAGTGAAGGGCGGGGTATAAATTCAACCTCCTCCTCCTTCCTTTCTGTACATGGTCAGAAGAACTCTCATCCGCCATACTATTTCTGATATCCCGGAGCAGAGCGCTGGCATGGTGAAAGGGTTCTTTGGCCTCAACCTTGCATGTACAGCTTGAATACCTGGACTAAACTGCTTAGGAAGAAGAAGAAGAGAAGAGATTGGATTTCTACTCCGCCCTTCACTACCCGAAGGTGTCTCAGAGCGGCTGACAAACTCCTTTCCCTTCCCCTCCCCACAACAGACACCCTGTGAGACACGTGGGGCTGAGAGAGCTCTTGACAGAAACTGCTCTTTTTTCAAGAACAGCTGTGCCAGAACTACGGCTTGCCCAAGGTCATCCAGCAGGTGCAAGTGGAGGAAGAAGAAGAGGAGGAGGAGGAGTTTGGATTTATACCCCGCCCTTCACTACCCAAAGGAGTCTCAGAGCGGCTGACAAACTCCTTTCCCTTCCCCTCCCTGCAACAGACACCCTGCGAGGTAGGTGGGGCTGAGAGAGCTCTTGACAGAAACGGCTCTTTTTCAAGAACAGCTCTGACAGAACTTCGGCTTGCCCAAGGTCACCCAGCAGGTGCAAGTGGAGGAGTGGGGAATCAAGCCCGGTTCTCCCAGATTAGAGCTTGTACACTTAACACAAGACACCAAACTGGCTGGTAGGCCGGTGGGGGTAGGCAAGGAGGTGGGGGGGAGGTGGGTCATGCCAGTGCTGATAAGAAACTGGCGTCGCACAGAAAGAAAAGGCAATGAGGTCCTTCGTTTTGTGAGACACAATAGCCCCCCACCCTGGCGGGGGAGAGATAGGATCACAGCGCATTCTGGGCCTGAATGGGCTGCCCTTGCTTGCCAGGATATGATCAGACCCTCAGAAGCCCACCTCCCTTTGTCCCTTCTCCTTGGAGCTGATGGTATCGGGGGCTGCCTGGCCAGGGCGCCAATTATGAGACATTCTCTACAGGGCACACGGGGAAGGAGAGTGTGTGTGTGTGGGGGGGGGGGGAAATAATCTGATGCACAACGGAGAGAAAAGGGAAAGGCGCTTGGGGGGTGGCGGCTGAGGGATGTGGGGGCTTTTTTGGTTCCTGCGTTGGAAAGAGAAGAAGAGGAGGAGGAGATTGGATTTATACCCTGCCCTTCACTACCCGAAGGTGTCTCAGAGCGGCTTACAAACTCCTCTCCCTTCCCCTCCCCACAACAGACACCCTGGGAGGTCGGCGGGACTGAGAGAGCTCTGACAGAAACTGCTCTTTTTTCAAGAACAGCTCTGAGAGAACTGTGGCTTGCCCAAGGTCATCCAGCAGCTGCAAGTGGAGGCGTGGGGAATCAAACCCGGTTCTCCCAGATTAGAGTCCGCGCACTTAACCACTGCACCAATACTAGGCCAGCAGTAGGTCTGGAACGGCTCAGCGTGGCCCCCAGCCCTTTGGGGAGGTTTGGTGCAGCAGCTGCATCCTCAAGATGCACGTGGGACTTTGGAGCGACCCCCGCCTTGGTGTGGGTTGCTTCCAGACGACCCCTGGCTGCTCCCTTTAGACCACACCCAACCCCGACTCCCTTGAAGCCGCTTTTGCCTGCTGCTCTCTCCTAGGAGGGCTGTCTGATACCCGTCTCCCTTAGGCAAACTTTCCAGAGGAGATGAGGGCAAAGTCCCATGGTGATTCCCTGGCCTTCCTCCCCTTTCTCCGTCTCCCCCCCCCCCATCCCCAGCACTGTGTCACGTGACTGTGGGGACAGAAATCTGTATTTTTTGTGCATTGAGGCTATAGATAATTGGTGGGGATGGAGGAAAGTGCCGTCAAGAAGCAGCCAACTTGTGGCAACCACATAGGGTTCTCGAGGCAAGAGATGTTCAGAGGCGGTCTGCCATGGCCTGCCCTTTGCATCACAACCCTGGTATTCCTTGGAGATCTCCTATCCAAATCACCCTGCTTAGCTTCTGCGTTCTGATGAGACTGAGCTAGCCTGGCCCATCCAGGTCAAGACAAGAGACGGACGGGGTGGTTTTCCATTGCCTGCCTCTGCGTAGCAACCTGGGACATCCTTGGTGGTCTCCCATCCAAGTACTAACCAGAGCCGACCCTGCTTAGCTTCCGAGATCTGATGAGATCAGGCTAGCCTGGCCCATCCAGGTCAAGACAAGAGACGGACGGGGTGGTTTTCCATTGCCTGCCTCTGCGTAGCAACCTGGGACTTCCTTGGCCGTCTCCCATCCAAGTACTAACCAGGGCCGACCCTGCTTAGCTTCTGAGATCTGATGAGGCTGAGCTAGCCTGGGCCATCCAGGTCAAGACAAGAGACGGACAGGGGTGGTTTTCTATTGCCTGCCTCTGCGTAGCAACCTGGGACTTCCTTGGTGGTCTCCCATCCAAGTACTAACCAGGGTCGACCCTGCTTAGCTTCTGAGATCTGATGAGACTGAGCTAGTCTGGGCCATCCAGGTCAAGGCAAGAGATGGACAGGGGTGGTTTTCCATTGCCTGCCTCTGCGTAGCAACCTGGGACTTCCTTGGTGGTCTCCCATCCAAGTACTAACCAGAGCCGACCCTGCTTAGCTTCCGAGATCTGATGAGATCAGGCTAGCCTGGCCCATCCAGGTCAAGACAAGAGACGGACAGGGGTGGTTTGCCATTGCCTGCCTCTGCGTAGCAACCTGGGACTTCCTTGGTGGTCTCCCATCCAAGTACTAACCAGAGCCGACCCTGCTTAGCTTCC